CTAACACCGTTACTCCCATCACTGCAGATTTCCAGATCTCATATGCTAACAGCATCAAAGATAAATAAATTTTTGCTAAATGATAATACAAAAATATGATTTTGCTCACATTTTCTTTCTCTATCATAAATCCCTTTTATAACCATTACATGTGTGCGTTTGTGTAGAGAGAGAGAGACATACACACACATGTATAAAGATATTTCTCCATATTGTTACATTACTTGAGATGGATGTAATTTTGTTTTTTTTTTAGCCTAGTAACACCTAGTTGTGTTTTAGGTTCTGCCTCTAAATTGGGTGCCGTTTCCTGAGTCTGAGCCCAATCAGCAGTCACCTGCACATGATTCAAGGCCTATGAAGCTGTACTTCAGGGCCTCTGGGCAGTTTGTCTGCCATACACCAGAGAGGTGTGTGGCAGGTTTCTTCTGCTGAAGGTTTCTTCCTGTTAAAAGGGAGTTTTTCCTCTCCACTGTCGCTACAAGCATGCTTAGTGTGAGGGATTACATTTGAGTAAATGAGTCGATGCAATCAACTGGTTTTCCTTAGATAGAAAACTGTATCAATTTGACTGTATGATCTGGTGAACTGTAAAGTGCCTTGAGATGACGTGTTGTGAATTGGCGCTATAGAAATAAACTGAATTGAATTGTTTGTTTGTAGCATTTTATGAGCTTCATGAGTTACTTTGCTTCTAAGTAAATCTGTTCAGATGGTTTTGTTTTAGAAGAGAGCTGCCGTTTTTTTCACCCCAGTTTTCTCCTATTTATTTGCGTGTTAGACCTGAGTGAAGAACACCCCCCCCCCACCTTCGTCAAATCACACAAAATTGGTGTCAAATGTTAGTGCTATGTTTGTGCTGGTTTGCGCAGCAAAAATGTTCGGTTGTGCCTCTATCATTTTAAAGATATAAAGAATTGTTTCTAGAGGTCATCAAAGGTCAACCAGCTCCCCCCCACCTTATATACCGTAAATTCTCTAATATTGGCCTGTATTCCAATAGCGGCCGGGTCTCTAATAATGGCCGGTCTCGCTGTCAGAGGAGGTAAATAATGGCCGGTCTCTAATACAGGCCGGGGCTATAAACGTTTTTCCTGGGCATACCTCAACATTATACTTGTGGTAGTAAGTAACATACAAGTACCACAGCCCTGCGCAGCTAGACGACAGGCCCTGACTGCTGCCCGTCTGCGCGAGGAAGAGAACAGACACGCAGCAGAACAGGAGGAGCGCGAGTGATGAGGAGATTAAAGGGAGAGATGAAGAGGAGGAGAAAAACTGAGGAGGAGAATTAAACAGAATTGGAGGATTTTTTTTTTTTTACTTCAAACCAAGCGAGACATGGTAACTGTACTTTTTCAATAAATGAACCTAGTGTTTTATAGGTTCAAAAAGACACAAAATCTCATTTTTATTCATTCCACTGGTAGTCTGTTTTGCTCAAATAGCAATAGAGGCCTGTCTCTAATTCTGGCCTCTATCCAATAAAGGCCTGGACCGCGATGCACTTGAGTGAAATAAAGGCCCGGGCCTATATTAGAGAATTTACGGTATATATATATTAGTGCTGTCAATCGATTAAATTTTTTTAATTGCGATTAATCGCATCAATGCCTGAGTTAACTCGCGATTAATCGCATTTTAATCGCAAATTTTTTTTCTGATTGAAAATCATTTAAATACTCTCGATGACATACAAAAAATACATACAGGCTAGGTTTGTGTCAATGTTCTTTTTTTAAAATGAAAACAGGTCACAGACACTGATTTATGCCATAGAAACATATGGCAAGAAGATGGGGAGGCATGTAGCAAAAAATAACAAATATGTAGCCAAAAAATAGGCCCTAAAAACAGGCTGATGTAAAAGACAGTCTTTACAGTTAATACAGTCTTTTGAACAAAGACAAGCATTTTACCTTACTGCTATAAAATGTAGTACAGTTAACATTAGATGTTAATTAACCAAGATAATAATGAACAATTTTCAATCAATACATCAAAATCAATAGACCGACATCACTAGATGGAGGTAGTCTATGCTCTAGAAAGTTACTTTTCAGCCTCTTAACAAAAATGAGAACACACACCCCCCCACACACACACACACACACACACACACACACACACAATACCGACCTGTGGCGTACACAGACAGCAAGAGTGCCGTAGCAGATTCCATTTCACCTCAGTAATCAGTTTTCTCAGCGTATTTCAGGTTGCTACTAGTTACCAGACACTCAACTTGTTTGTTGGTGGTGTGGCTTAAAGAAAAGGCACTAGCGTCACCCAGTGTATGAGAGTCTTTTTCCCTTGAGGAGCTCCGCTCTCGAAGCCTATGGAAAATGCATACACTGGGGGAAAATAGCCCCGCCTTCCCGCAGGCTGCAGCGGGATGTACTTGGAAAATTGTACCATAAAACCACATAGCGTTAATCTCACGTTAAAAAAATTATCGCCATTAAAATGGCCTCGCGTTAACGCGATAATAACGCGATAATTTTGACAGCACTAATATATATATATATATATATATATATATATAGGTCTTTATTTCATTTCTGTATATGAACAATTATTACAACCATCTAACTGTGGTATTTTAAGATACTCCAGTATCAAGACAACACCCCTTTTTAAAGTGTTTTTAGAAAGCAAAAAGAGGAACTAGCAAAAAAAAATTGCATAACTTGTCACATCTTATTCTCTAACTTTTTGGCTTTATAGTTACCCCCTTTTTTTTGACAAATCCATGTTTTTTTTTCTCCATTATTTCCTTATTTAGATTAACTAAAACATTTCTATTTAAGGAAAATAACTTTTTGGGACAAGTGTTTGAAAGAGGAACTCGAAATGTTGGTGTTTAGTACATGGGGAAAATAGTTAAAATTGAAAAAAAGATCACACAAGCAAAAAATAAAACAGGATTTTGCGAGTTCCCAAGAATGAAAATAATAAAGAAAACTATTTAATGCAAAGCAAAATGTGTTTGTTTATATTTTTCATAAATGGGAAATCATATCCACTTTAGTAAATTAAGATACATTTTAACAATGAATAATATTTCTTTTTCAGTTTTGTGTTATTTGAAATACTAATGTGAATTTATCATTTTATTTAATGGGTGTGTAAACTTTCAAGCACAACTGTACATGTCTAAGGGACTGTCAGTTGAAAACCATGTGGGCAAATGTGAAAATGGACACTTAAAATGTGTAAACATTTTGTTGGTATCGGAAACTTAATTTTTACTACTATAATTTTGTTTTGTTATTTTTTTACTAACCTTAGGGTCGGCCAATAAGCACTGAAGATTTGAGTCTGAGTCTGTTAAACCTGTTGTGAATTTGGCCCATGGTCAAGAGTGTCTGCTGTTTGTTTTTTAGGGTCAGAGTACATAGAAAATATGATTAACTGCAAACTTAAGGATGATTTTTAAGCTAAGAGCAATCTGAAATACCTCAAATGTGCCCTATTTAAGATAAGTTAAGATTCACCCAATTTGTTCTGTTATCTTTTCCAAAGATACAATTTGCAAATCTTGTCCTTTGATGATGCTTTTAATGATTTGGCTTCATTCTCTCTGAGTGGCCTTTCAGCTCAGGCAAATCCAGGACTCATGTCAATATGAATAATGGCACTTATAACACACTTCGGAGAGCATTGTCATGGGGAATTTTGCTTTTTTCTCGGGTGTATGTGCATATTTAACTGGTTCATTGTAGAGTAACAGAGCCTGTCTGTTTCCTCAACAGTGTGAAAGAGCTAACATAAGCCAAATCAACCCTTTAAAGGGCACATTATATATTTTGCACTTGTGTAGAGTGAGGAGATACCTGCAGGTTGTTGCCCCTGCTTCAACTCACTAAACAACAACCTAGTATGAGTCTTTTCCAAGGTCAGTCCCTCTTAGCATCTACAAACAGAAATTAGTACAAAGGCATTACAGTCTTTAAGGGAAATAAATAGATATTCAGTATAAAAGGATAAAAGGTATTAGAAAAATTATTATTTACATTTGTTCCAACAGTCATACATGGCACACTTTTTTGTGATCTCACATTATAAAAGATATTAACAATAATTTTATTAAATTTAAAATTGTTTGGTAAGATGAAGGTTATTCAGGAGACTTAAGTTAGTGACAGGGAGCATGCCTATAAAAAGTATTTTACTGTTTTGGGTAATGGCATTTGTCTGCTTTGCAGCACCTTCCAGATGCGAGCAAAAAGATTGCTTTGTTTATGGACGGCAACATCCTTCAGGGTAGCTTGGCTGACCTGTAGTTTCCTGAAAATATCATCTGGGTTGATTCTCTCAACAGTTTTGACACTCACATTTCTTCTTTTTTTTTTTTTTTTGCAGTTTGTGCACCAGGGTGTGATGCATAAACAACAATTATGGAAAGTGACACTATGTCAAATGCCTGTGGTTTGAACAGTAACACCAAGTTTATTTAAGCTGAGACCAGAAAACAGTGTTAAAAAATGAATTATTCTTTCATTTGGTTTTATGGAGATTTGAAATGCTGATAAACGATAAACTCAAATGAAGTATTTTCTGATTTTATCAAGTTTGATCTCATTTGAATTGAATGATGACAAAGCAGACCACAAGTTCGACTTGGTTTAAGCATGACATGGTGTGTAGCATTTCCTTTTTTGTTTTAGTTTTTAAACATGATAGAAAAAAAGAAGTCATAGTTCAGCTTTTCAGAATAAAGCTTATCTTTCGCCATCCATCTATTTTCCGTCATGTTTATCTCGAATGGGGTTGTGAGGGGTGTTGGCATCTATCTCCAGCTGAGAGGCTGGGTACACCCTGGACAGGTCGCCAGTCCATCGTAGGGCAACACAAAGTCAAACAGGACAAAACAACCTTTCACACAAACTCACACCTAAGGGGAATTCAGAGAAGCCAATTACAGTCATGTTTTTGGACTGTACCTGGAAAGTACCTGGAGAGAGCAAATGTTTCAATGTAAAAACAAAAAACAACCATTTTTCATCTTTTTGCTGGAGCGTTTTATTTTCTACAGAATAAAGCAGCGGTTAAAGCAGACTTCCACAACAAATTCAGGATATTTAATTAGGAAGAAGTCCAAAGAATTAATGGTAAATCAGTAAATGTTGCAACTCTTTTGTTTTCATAAGTTGTTTAACAGTGATAGAATAAAGGATAGAATTAAAGACTGTTCAGTAGCCTTTCCTGGCACAGACAGATGGTTTAGGGAAGAAGCACTCAAAGTCATCCCAGCACTTCTGATCTGCATTAAAAAAAAGGAGAATTGTAACTTTTATTCAAAAGGATTAAGTTGATGATACAACCCTTTAACTAAATAATATTAAATGTCATAAACAACAACATACCTATGGACGCAAATCCAAATAACACATTTTAATCAAGTTAAACATAATCTTACATCCATAGTTGATTTGAAGGCAACGCTGCACTCCATGTGTGTTATTAGGCTCTCCAGAACACCAGTTGGTAAAGAGGAAACGAGTACCGTCACTCCAAAACCACTGATTCGCCTGTAAAATCAAAAAGAATTTTATAGGAGGGTAAGTAAAATATAGAAGAATAAACTGTTGTGTTAAATAAAATACCTCTTGTGCATCAGTGCCTCCAATCCAGGTCTCTTTATACTCATGGCTAGAAGTCATGATCAGCCTCTGGATCTCATGGTACTCCTCAATGTCATGAACCGATGCCAGGTTTCCCCTCATGGACACACAATTTCTCTACACATGGCATTTAAAAAAGAAGTGACATATTTCTGTAACATCTACTTAGAAAAAGTGAATAATCAGCTGAATTAAAGGTATTTTGTAACCTCAGCTTTTGCCCAACTCATGGGCCTTGGAATGTAGCGGAAGCAGCGCCCGTTGAACGGAGTCCAACCAGGAGAACACCGGGCAGACCTTTTCACCAGATCACTCTTTGCTGAGAACCAGCAGTTAATATGAGGACTTCTGTTAGATTCTTCATTAAGTTATTTACAAATTATTTGCATATTAAGGAAAGGCTGAAATATGCCTTTTCCAAGTACATATCATACATACAAACTTTCAAGAAAGCATAAATTAATATTATTTCCGAGCATGTTTAATATATCAAGATGAAGAAAATGAGCAATAATAATTATGTTAATACACTGACCTGTCTTATAATCATCCAGTTGTGCATGTGGAAGAAACAGAGAGTTTAAACAGTAATTGGAAAAAGTGCTGCTGTTAATTACAATAATTTTCATAATCTTTCTAAATTAATGAATACAATTTCAATTCATTGATAATTTGTCATATTTTACGAGAATGCCAAGTTAAAATGTGGCTCTTGTAAACAAATATGTAATTTAATTTAATTAGCAATGGTCATTAAAAATATACATTTCGTACAAAACTCACCGAGGGCATTAGTCAGCGCAATCATAGCAAACATAAATGCTGAAAAATACAAGATCTTCATCCTGCAGGTTTTAGATGATGATAGCTTGAAAAAAGAACTTGTTATGGGGAAGGGAGGAAAGTCAGAATGTATGTTAGAAGTAAGTTCTGTTCTTCCTCTTTATATTAGTTCTGATGTCTCAGCTTACTACTTATGAAAAATTATTAAGAAGGTGTGACTGTCAAACAAAAAATGTTTTCAATCTGTTTATATATGTTGATATAAGAGGTTTTATTTTTTTTATTTATTTATTTATTTTATTTCTCCTGGTTGTCAGATAGTAGTCTGCAAAGTTTTACTAAATATCTTTTGTTGATTTTATAATTTTTCTTTACAGAATTTGTAAAGATGCAAAATGCGTCTTTGACATCTTATGTCAGGTTGAGTGGAGGTTTGAAGGATTAAAACACAAAGATGGAAGCTGAGTTTATTTCTTGAAAGTGTAATGTCCAAAGGAGCAACAGAATCAAAAGTCTTCAGACAAAATAAAAACTTTAAAACAAGAACAACATAGGAATTCAAATGTATGATGTACCTTTGCAGTATTTAGCAACCCCTAAGGGATCTTTGGAAGATCACAGTATGTGGAGGAATTTTGGATATGAATAAAAGTTTTTGGAATCTGTATGCAGTGGAAGAAAATAAAGAACGACTGCTGACCTCCTCATGAAACATACAAACCTTTCCTTCAGCTAAAAAATATCCTGATGAAGGCCTGCACTGATTACCCATCCAGTATTAAGGACACAAATCTATTTTGGGTCAGTTTTATCTCTAAATAATTTTGCAATGTGAACAAATATGGTAACATTTTTGGAGCAATATATCAAGTAATCACAATTTTCCAATTCACAGTAGCAGATACATCTATGTGGGATTCCGTCAAAGTAAAAAAAATAAAAATAAAAAATCCACTGGACTTGGTTTCCAAGACTTGAAGACGTTTCGCTACCTCTCCTGGAATCTTTCTCAATTCAAATGTCTGGATCTGCAGTGAGTTTGAGTATTTATATAGACAAGGCCTTGTATTTCTGGAAAACATGCAAATGGAAACCGATGAGTGGGCCGTTTGGTTCCATTGTTAGCCTGTAATACCTGAAACCTGTCTATGATTGTTAAGGGTCCACCGCCTCTGTGGACTCAGATTCCAGCTTCCAAAGACTTACAATTCAGTTATAGAGATGATCCCTTCCAGATGTCACCACACCCCCCACCCCATCACAGAGGAACAAAGTACCTCCCCGCTCCAGCTGGTGAACAATGCCTCCTTAACAACCGACCCTTAACAATCATAGACAGGCTTTAGGTATTAAAGGAGACAATCCCCCCCTTTAACAACAATCCCCCCCTCTAACGACCAACTTTCGGAATCATACACAGGTTTCAGATATTACAGGCTAACAATGGAAGTCCAGTGTTTTTTTTTTTTTTTTTTTACTTTTACGGAATGACTATGACCTGGATGACTGAGAATTTATGTGGGAGAAATAGAAATAAAAAATGTAAAAAAAAAAGAACTTTCCACTGTTAGAGTAAATCATTAGAAGTGAGGTTGCAAACAGAATTAGGGACAAAATATTCCTTTTAATGTGTTTTTTTCAGAGGCTTTGTTTGTACGGCCAGATGAAACAAGGTCTTCATTTCACTTACTAAATGTGTTACTCTAAGATACTCTGATATGAAGATAAAACCCCTGTTAAAACAAGTTTTAGAAAGAGGATCCAGCAAAACCACAGCATTATACATTTATAACCTAGTCACATCTGACTGTGCAAATATTTTTTGGGCCTTTTAGCTACCCCTTTTTAGCAAAGTTTTTGCACAATGCATGTGCAACATTTTTTTTTCATATCTACTTTGATCAGATGAAATGAAAAAATCCACTATAGGAGAAGTCAAAACCTTTTTTGGTCAAATGTTTGAACAAAGAACTAGAAATTGTGCTTTTGTTTGAAGCTAGCTTATATTAGGATAATAGTCAGAAATTGGAAAAAAAATAAATAAAGAAAAACAAAAAAAAACCCCACCAAAAAACAAAAAAATGAAAGCAAATGATTTTGGAAGTGCTCCATCTGGTGTGGCTGGGGACAGATTCAGGTTTCTTTTTAACTTTATCAAATAACCATTTTAGGTTTCACAAAATTTTACAAGGTCTATTTTAGTTCCATTACGAACATCAACAAAACTGTGCCCTCTTACAAAATTTAAGCCTATTTTACTAATATGATAATAAGATATTTTATGCATAAAAAAGGACCTTACAAAATATTTTATTATACACACCGATCATGTACAACTTCAAAGAAACTTAAATAAAAAAAACAAGAAAAACTATTGAAAATATCACAGATTATATTGCTAACTTTAGTTATGCTCTCGCCACTATAGGTGGTCACATGTTCACATGAAGCTACATTATCTGTGGAGTTTGTTGAAGCAATTTGCCCAAACGGGTCAATGCCCGGAATGTAGGAATGTAGATCGACCGGTTAATCGAGAGCTTTGCTTTTTGGCTCAGCTCTCTCTTTACCATAACAGACCGGTACAGGGAGCGCTTCACAGCAGACGCCGCACCAATCCGCCTATCAATCTCTGCTCCATCTTCCCCTCATTTGTGAACAAGACCCCAAGATACTTAAACTCCTCCACTAGGGGCAGTACATCCTCCCCAACCTGAAGAAGGCACTCTACCCTTTTCCGACACAAGACAACCCAGTCTCATGGGAAAATGTACCCACTATGTTGGTCCACACTGCAAAACATAGTGGAGGTACATTAATGGCCATTTTTTTGTGGTACTGTTACATTTCTTCTGCCTATACGCTTTCTATTGTTTTACGTCCTAGTCACGTGACTTTCAAGATTCCAGCTGGGAGAAGAAAAAAAAAATAAAAAAAAAAATATATATATATATATATATATATATATATATATATATATATATATATATATATATATATGTCCGACATTCGCTAATTTTTTTGTGGAAAGATTACTGTAAGATGACTTGAGTTTGTTTTTGCATTAAAATGAGTTTTGATTACATTTCTAGTGAGAAATGTATAGTTTGTTGCCATAATATTTACTCAGGGAATGTACATATTCACTTGCTTGTTCGTTTCTTGCAAAGATTTTTCAAGATAATGTGAAACTGTAACGTTTTGGTATAAACATGGCTGAGATTTCTCTAACTTTTAGTGGGAAAACCAATAATTTCAATCAGTTTCTGCATTTAAATCGGTTTTGATTACATTTATAGCGAGAAGTGTAGGGTTTATTTATATAATATTTACTTAGTGAACATACATAATCACCCGCTTGCTAGTTTTTGTTACGGTTTTTCGGATCTCGTCAGGATTATGTGAAATTGCAACGTTTTGGCTGCTACCCATCACTTAGCATTTAGCTGCCGCCCCGATTCAACATTGAATTCTTTGTGATTTAACTCCATCTGACGGATCAAACCCTCGCCACTGCGTGGGTTGCGTCTGAGGTTGATTTTCAGATCAATGCATTACGTCGTGGCATACGGGAGAAACTAATTAAACTAGTTAAAAAAAGGATCATGGGTTAAGATCGGATGTGTTTTATTTGGAAATCTACCGGATCCTTTGTGCATTTAACTTCCTGTTTGGTGCAATCTCATTGATGGGTTTTGACCAGATTTTGACCAAAGAAGAACTAAAAAAAACAATTTAAATACACAACCAGCATATCTGGAATCAATGACAGAGAGCGACTGGGACCAGAAGTTTATTAATTTCTCCCCATTGATTTCCATTCAAAATGTTTTCGGTCCCACCGGGCTCACTGGAAGGGGCGTGCATACCGCCACCTACTGTTCATGAGTGTGTAGCAACATTGTTTTACATCTATTAAATTCTATTTTTCAATTTTGTATTCTGAAGATAAATAAATAAAATAAAACCCTACACTTCTCGCTATAAATGTAATCAAAACCGATTTAAATGCAGAAACTGATTGAAATTATTGATTTTCCCACTAAAAGTTAGAGAAATTTCAGCCATGTTTATACCAAAACACTACAGTTTCACATTATCTTGAAAAATCTTTGCAAGAAACGAACAAGCAAGTGAATATGTACATTCCCTGAGTAAATATTCTGGCAACAAACTATACATTTCTCACTAGAAATGTAATCAAAACTCATTTTAATGCAAAAACAAACTCAAGTCATTAATCTTTCCACAAAAAAGTGAGCGAATGTCGGACATATATATATATATATATTTTTTTTTTTTCTTCTCCCAGCTGGAATCTTGAAAGTTATGTGACTAGGACGTAAAACAATAGAAAGCGTATAGGCAGAAGAAATGTAACAGTACCACAACAAAAAATGGCCATGAATGTACCTCCACTACGTTTTGCAGTGTGGACCAACGTAGTGGGGGTACATTTTCCCATGAGACTGGGTTGCTCAAGACCATGGTCTCGGATTTGGAGGCACTGATCCTCATCCTGGCCGCTTCACACTCGGCTGCAAACCGCTCCAGTAAGAGCTGTAGATCACACCCTGATGAAGCAAACAGAACCACATCATCTGCGAAAAACAGATGAGGCCACCAAGGCAGATCCCCTCAACACCTTGGCTGCGCCAAGAAATTCTGTCAATAAACGTTATGAACAGAATCAGTGACAAAGGGCAACCTTGGCGGAGTCCAACCCTCACCACAAACAAGTTCGACTTACTGCTGGCAATGTGGACCAGGCTCTGACACCGGTCATACAGAGACCTAACAGCCCCTATTAAAGGGCCCGTTACTCCATACTCCCGGAGCACCCCCCACAGGACCCCCCTCCAGGGACTAGGTCGAATGCTTTCTCCAGATCCACAAAACAAATGTAGACTGGTTGGGCAAACTCCCATGCACCCTCCAGAATCCTGCTGAGGATATAGCTTCAGTTGAAAGATCATTTTCCAAGCTGAAAATCATCAAAACTAAACTAAGAAGCCTGTGTGGAGAAGAAAGGCTCTCTGACCTTCATCTGCTTGCCATTGAAAAAGACATTGAGGTAAACCACAGCAAGGTCATCAACATCTTTAAAGACATGGCACCAAAGAGGATGCTGCTTTAAAGTAGTAC